ATTTATATACAAATTGGTGTGATAAATCAATGTCTAAAAGATAATTTAATCTAGTTAAGTAAACGCAGTTTTAAATTTGCTTTTAGAGCACATGTACGTATGTATATAAATTATTCACCAATTCTTCTAATAAGATCAGGAATATGAAGAACGGGAGATAAGGAGACAAGAAACAAACATTGCTTTAATGTGAAACATACAATACATATTTAATGTCATCTAAAAAGATTATAAAGGTTAAGAATTTTTCGACAGCTAAGCAAAAGCAATTTTCAGGGATTTTTAAACGGAAAGGCGTTAAAGACAAATATGTAAGGAAAGTTTTTTGGTCAAAATGAAAAACTAGCGCCCTTTATGCCGCCCGTAGGCCTTTTGAAGCAGCTAAGATAATTGTGAACCGAGTTAAGATCAAGTTCAGAGATCCATGGAGAAGCAATATTAAATTTGTTCAATAGAGACATATATACAGAATTATTTATATGTATATATACATGAAACACAAACATTTACGATTTAGTAGTCATGTTTTATTCGGTGTCTACGTTAATCCCTAGAAATGACAATTAATCAATTTAGAATTCAAGCATTAGTAGTTCTTTAAATGTCAACAAACCACAACAAAAAGAAAAGAAACAAACAAAATATTATACTATATTAAATTAGTTCAGGATATATACATATAACTGTGAAATCTGAGCACTTCTTGGATGCTGTTCCCAAAGTTTAGGTATTATTCACAATGTGTAAACATTTAATTGATCATGATGATAAGTATAATGATGATGTATTGAGAAGCCGAGTCGTGTGACAAGGCAAGACTGAAATGAGACAAAAAGAAATGTTTGGTAATGGGTACACAAAAAATATATAACTGATACTGATATTATTGTTGTAGTAGATCCTTTGATAAGTATAACAAACATACTCACATGCATTTATACATATGTAACACATATATATAAATGTGCAGATAAATCGAAATCCTCTTTTTAGTAGCTTGCGTGAGTCCCATTTAAACGCTCTTAGCATACTGAAATATTTCTATTCTACGTTATACCATATGCATATATATATAAATATTTATATATGTATGTAAAACAGAACTTTGGCAAACACAGACAAATTTCAACATATACAAAATGGAATGCATGAATACAGTAATAAAAAAAATTGAATACTTGCGTTTATGTTATGGAACTTCTTACCTACTATAGCCTGTTCACATAACAGATTTTGGGTGACCATTCTGCTCGAAATATTTTAACAAGTTTGCTGCGCCCATCAACTGCATACTATTTTGGTTGCATACTTGGAGGGGCTTTAACTTGAGACTATCAGTAGTTTAAAATTAAACGGTAAGATGAATAAAGAAATAACCGTTCTCATTAAAGTTACCGATTCAAGGTAGCATTTCATGTTTTAGTTTTATTGCTTAAAAGAAGTTGAAGGGACTTGCTTAAGTGCGCGCAAAAAATTTTTAAAAATAACACGCAATGAACAGAATAGTAAGTTAACAGAACTGCTAATTGTATAACCAATTGAGCAATTTACAGACTTATCGAAATTTTAATTAACAGAGTCTGTTATGTCGGCTGCTACCACTAACCAGAGTGCTGCTACGTAGCGTGATTTTCTAATGCTAGCCAGCACGATTGAATGATTGAATAGTCATTTAACAGTTGCTGTTAATATGATTCCCATTTGAAATGGCTGCTAAAAGTAAAATCATAAATGTATTTATATGTAAAGACTTGTGCGTTAGGTATTTTGTTTTTATTCTGCACATACATTTACTGACATACATACTAATTCATATATTGTTTTCATTATAGTTCTCTATTAGTTTCAACTGTTTCGTTTCTCTCTTTCGTTTTGCAGGTTTTGCTTTTATTATTTGCCCATTTTCATAGCTTTTGCTTTGCTCTTACATTTTCTTTTACATCCGATTGTTGGGTGCAATTGATGATTCCTAATCTTGATTACTTTCGGATTTATTGTTCAAAAGTTGCATTAGTTGATGCTCTTAAAAAATTGCCTTAAGAAGTGAAAAAATAATTGATCATAAAATCGAGTATATTTAATAAACATAAATAATTTCTTAAATTTTTATTATTGCATTGCTATTAAGCAGATTAAAAACTTTTATCTGCTTGCAGACAGACGACTGACTGTATTGCCACTAACCAGACAACAGTGGTATTGCTTAAGAGCTGCCACTTAACATAATCCGACACATATGCATTTCTTACATCTCTGTTAGCTCTGGGTCTTTTGTTATAAATGTATGTTAATGTTAATCGAGTTTCATCCGCTGCATTCAACTACATCGATATTCAATTTCGGGTTGCATACAAATCTAATTAGTTTCACATACATATGTATATGTT